CTTTCGGGGCTTTCGGGAAGAATGCCTCGAGTCTCTTAGACCTTTTGTGGCCGATATGCTGTAAGTGGGCATCAGTGACATTCAACTTCGACGCCATCAGGCCCAATTGTCCACCCCAGAATCTCTCACACTGGAAGAAGATGTACGCAGTCACGAGAAAGTTTATGGACATCCAGCTACGGGACACTTCTGTCAGGCAGCAGTACTGTCGGAAGGGTGTTTGCGTAAGGAGACGCGCTGCGATACCCCTCTTTCGGGAAGTACTCGACTGCGGGGAGACCGCCGTTCGTGATCGCATGTTCGACTGTGCCGAAGATGTTATGCTGCTGCTCAATTCCGTCGTGCGCATAATGTTGAAGGCGAAATTGCATCTCTATCTCGAAGGCTGAAGATCTGTCTGGAAATTCGCGCTCACAACTGTCCCGATGAAGCGCTCCGAGGTCTCGTGGAGTGCTGAAGTGCTAATCCATTGCCGGCACCGTCTCATTTGATCGAGGATTTCGGAATGAAAAACTTATTATCCCCGCTCATTCATTCACCGGGAATTATTAGAGCTTGGGGGACGAAAACGCTATGGAATTCCCTGCCGGCGCCGCGCTGGCTCGTCGGAGCACCGCACCGGTCGACAGATCAATTGCATTCAAGCTTCGCAGCACCTAGACGCGTCTTGTTGCGACACAGATTTTCGGAAATTCATCCGGGACCATGGTTCCGACGTGCGATGGGACGTCAACGCGACGCTCCGAATTCCGGTCCGGGCGTCAGCCGAATGTAATCCCTTCTCCATATGGAATCTTTGAAGGAGAGCCTCCAACTCAGTTAAGCTCGTGTGCTGAATCTATTGGGCACCGATTCTTGAATCTACCCGGAGGTTTCTCGAAGCGCCTCCGAGCCATTTCGGTCCGGTATTTTTTTCCTGGATTTCCCGGCTTCCCGAATGGATTAATGGGAGCACCCAACGAATAGCAGAGTACTCCTGCAGGGATTCATCGGAAATCCGATCATTCCCAAGATTTTTCCGCATAATTCTGATTCCGGGGACGGATATGTCCCTATCGTCTCGAAGCCCGGGACACATAAGTCCCAGCCGTCCGAGAGCTTGGGACACAGATGTCCCACTCGCTCCGAGCGGGACCTGCCT